TTTGACAATCCTGGGGCCCGGCGGGGGCCCCCGGGAGCCGAAAATCGCCAAAAACCTCCCGTCCGGATTTTTTTACGACGCGATCATGTCTGGGGAACCCCCGGGAAGCGAGATGCCCGCGTCTGAAGTGTGGCTGGGGAGCGCCGGCAGGGCGCTCCTGCCGCAAAGCCGCATTGCAAGACGACTCCTCCGACGCCTGCCGCTGCCCTGCCCGTGGCTGGCGGCCTCGCCCGTGTCGAGGAGACCTCTTCCTCCTCCTCCTCCTCCCCCTCCTCCTCCTCCTCCTCCTTCTCCTCCTCTTTCATTCTTTTTCCTTAAGAAATACTTTTTCCCTGTCGCACCCCGAGGCCAGTTTTAGGGCGGGCCAGACGTTTCGCCTGAGACTTCCTCACCGTTTATATTTCTGAAGCTTCCAAAATGGCAACAGTTTCACACATGGAGGGCGGGCGGTTTTCAAAATGTGGCTCTCGCATGAGCGCAGCGCACATTCGTTCTCAAAGCTTGCAAGAACTTTACGGATTCAGGGCGGTTCCTTTTCAACATGTGGTTCTCGCATTCGCGACGCGCACATTCGTTTTCAAAATTTGCAAGAGCTTCACGGATTGAGGGTGGCTCACGCTCTCGCAATAGCGCCGCGCACATTCGCTTATAAATATTGCAAGAGTTTCGCGGGGTCCTATGGCTAGAAATGTTACTTGGGAAGGATTCAAGATTATGCGGGTGCAACAATTTGATTGCTTCGCGTTGTTGAAGTCCCCCAAGACGGCGTTCTGGCACGCTTCTTTATCGTCAGGACGCAGCAGTCAGGTTGATCCGTGGCGTGGAAATTCTGGGGACAATGTTTTGGCATGCTTCGAGGTCTTCAAACGGTTGTCTTCCAAAGAGGCAGTTCCCTCAATGGAAATGAACCGTTATATGGGCCTATGAAGAGAGAGCTTGGAGGAAGGGTTAATTCCAACATCGTTGATGACTCTTGGGTTTACACTGGTCCTCCTCCTCCTCCTCCTCCTCCTCCTCCTCCTCCTCCTCCTCCCCCTCCTCCTCCTCATCGTCATCCCTCCTCCTCCTCCTCCACCGCCTCCTCCTCCTCCTCCACCGCCTCCTCCTCCTCCTCCTCCTCCTCCTCCTCCTCCTCCTCCTCCTCCCCCTCTTCTCCCTCCTCCTCCTCCTCCTCATCCTCTCCTCCTGCTCCTCCTCCTCCTCCTGTGACAGCAATTGAGCAAATGCGCCTCGAAGCAATATCACTTCAAGCCCTCCTCCTCTTCCTCCTCCTCCTCGTCCTCCTCCTCCTCCTCCTGGGTCGCCCAGCTTGTGCGCCATGACTCAGTCTCCAGCGGTCGTTCGTAACCTGCGGGCACCCACGGAACGCCTTCGGCAAAGGCCGGAAAACCGCCGAGAACCGACAAACACCGACGAACACCTCGAACCTCACGCCACCTTCCTGACACGTTTGTCGAGGCGGATCCGGCCGCGGAAACGCGGCCCCAATCAGGCCCAAACAGGACGAGAAGTGCCAGGGAGGGCCGCCGTTGTCTCGGCTGGCCCGCTCCCTCCTCCTCCTCCTCCATGCTGCAGCGCTGGGGTCCGCTGCGGTGCGAAGCAGACGGCGGCGTACGCCCGTGCGCTCAGCAGGCCGTCCCAGAGGGCCATGCTGCCGAAGGACGCGGCTCGGAAAAAGGGCCAACCACCCGGGGGTGTCCACCCCGCCCTTGTCGCTCCTCGTCACCACGGCAAGGCTCTCGTCGCCACGTGCGAGTAACGCCATGATGAAGAGAGAGAGAGAGAGAGGGAGCTGGACCGCGCGCCATCAGCTACAGGTTGCGAAATCAAACCTGGTCGCCCAGGAAAGGCCTGGAGGTAGAGGGGGTCTTCTTATCGCCGTCATGGTTCGTGCTTCGATGATCTGGAGGTTCGGCCGCAGAATGCAATCGAATCCTCCTCCTCTTGGCGGCGCGCACAAGGGGGTGGAGGGAGGGGGGAGGGCTTCTTAGAAGAAAGCTGCTTCTTAGAAGGCGCCGGCCTTACATCTATAGATAAGGCCCGCGCCTTGTAAGAAGCAGGGGTGCTTCTAAGAAACCCTCCCCCTCCCCCCCACCCCCCTTTGCGCGTGGCTGACCCTCGTTCTCCTCCTCCTCCTCCTCCTCCTCCTCCTCCTCCTCCGCCTCCTCCTCCTCCTCCTCCTCCTCCTTCCCCGAGGGAAGCCCCGCCGCCCGAGAGGCCACCCTGCAGCGGCGGCGGGCGCCTGGCATCGGGCGGGGTCCGAGGGTCGCCCGCGGCGCCGAGCGCGGCGGCCATTGCGGCGAGCTCCTGCGGGCAGCGACGCGCCGCTCCGCCCCACGGCGACGACAAGGGCGACGACGGCCACGGCGACGACGAGGGCGACGACGACGACGGCGACGGCGACGACGACGAAGAGGATGGCGACGACGACGACGAGGATGGCGACGACGACGGCGAGGATGGCGACGACGACGACGACGACGACGACGACGATGGCGACGAGGGCGACGACGAGGAGGAGGAGAAGGAGGAGAAGGAGGAGGACACATTAGGAGAAGAAGGCAGGACGAAAGAAAATCCTCACAGGTATATGACGATATCTGGGGTCGCCAGATGTCTAGAGAAACTTAGGGAAGCCTCCTCCTCCGTCCCTCCTTCTCTTCCCGTTTCCCCCTTTCCCTTCTCGTCTCCTTCATCTTACTCCTTCTTCCTGCTTCCTCTCACCCCTCATCCCTCATCCTCTTGCCCCCATCATCCGCCCGCCTCATCCTGCTCCTCATGCGTTCCCTCCTGCCTCTCCCCCTTGTCCCTCCACAATTACACCATATGAAAATACTCTCCCACTTCCCCTGATGGCGTCCCGAAGATATCCGACCCCCCCCGCGTACTGTTTTTTACACACAGGATTCCCGGGAAACGGGTCTTCGCCTGCGCTTTTTTCAAAATGCTGTTCTCGCTGAGGCGCCGGCCTCATTTCTGCTCCCGAATCGTTCCGAATCGTGCTCCCGCTGCAGCGTGGGCCTCATTTTCGGATCGGTGTTTGGCCTCCGTCGTTCAGGATGGCGTTCTCGCCCCAGCGCGGGCCTCTTTCTCGCGCGCCCATCCGCCCGCCACCACCGCGCCGCACCACCACCACCACCACCACCACCACCACCACCACCACCACCACCACCACCCACGCACCAGCACCACACCACACCACACCACACCAGCACCAGCACCAGCACCACACCACACCACACCACACCACCACAACCACGCACACACGCACGCACGCACGCACGCGCACCACCACCCACTACGCACGCGCGCGCGGAGCCACAGGTCCGCTACGACACGCGTCCGCGGATAGAGAAAATCAGCGCCATGGTAAGGGATGGGAGGGAGGGGTAGGACGTCAGATATGACGCGAGCGCACCTAGCTTGTCCCCCTCCCCCTCCCCCTCCTCCCCCTCCTCCTCCTCCTCCTCCTCCCCTCCTCCTCCTCCTCCTCCTCCTCCTCCTCCTTCTCCCCCTCCCCCTCCTCCTCCTCCTCCTCCTCCTCCTCCGCCTCCTCCTCCTCCTCCTCCTCCTCTCCTCCTCTCTCCTCCTCCTCCTCCTCCTCCTCCCTCCCCCCACATGGCACGACGACCCGCCCACGCTGCCAACCACAACGACCGCGACGGCCTCCACCACGACGACCACCGTCGCTCCGACCACGACCGAGGACCACGACGACCACGGCGGGCCCGCGACACCTCGGCGGCGAGGAAAGGCCCGCCCGGCCGTCCCCGAGCCCAGACGTCCGGCTGCTCCGACTCCTTCGGTGCGTTGTCGGGGGCGGCGAAGAGGGGGGTGTCCAAGAGGGGGGTGTGCAAATCATGGCCAGCGGCATGTGCGCGGCCCAGGGGGGGCGCCAGGAACGTAATGAGATAAGAAGAGACGCCATGAGATCTGGAGAGATATCATGGCCCCCGCCATGATCTCCCCCCTAGTCATTACCCCCCTTTTGGCCGCCTCCGACGTGGGCCCCGGAGATCCGGACCACTTCGTACAGGGGCCCGACCACAAGAAACCTCCTACAAGAAAGCCATCCCTGAGACCCCAGGATTCCCTTCGACGTAAGGCGTGGGAACGTCGCGCTGTCCACAGCGAAACCATCGAAACCCGAGACACCCAGGGCACCCTGGAGGCAGGCAGGGTGTTTCTTGGCATGGGTCCCCACTGCAGGGCCTGTGTTTCGTCCCGAGCCGTTTCTCGACGCTGCCGAGGCCCGGCGAGGGCCCCCCTGAGGCCGAAGGCGGCCCCAAACCGCCTGCTCCATTCTTTGTTGGAGCGTCGGATCTCTGGGAGGCGCGGGGGTCCTCCTCCTCCAAGAAACCGGAGCCGTCCGCGTCCCAGGCGCAGAAGGCGAGCCCGAGGCGCTCCTCTGGCGGGCTCGCCGAGATCGTCGCCGTCGAGGTCGTCGTCGCCGTCGACGTCGTCATCGCCGGCGTCCTCGCCGTCGCCAACGGCGCCGGCGGCGTCGCCCGTCGGCGTCGCTGTGGGCATCGTCGCCTTCGTCGTCTTCGTCGTCGTCGTCGTCGTCGTCTTCGTCGTCGTCATCGTGGTCCTCGTCGTCGTCGTCGTCATCGCGGTCGTGGTGGTTGTCGTCACCTTCGTCGTCGATGTCGTCATCGCCGCTGTCGTCGTCACTCGAGAGAGGCTGCGTGGCTCGGTTTCGCAGTCACGCGCTGACTGGGAATGCGCCCCATATGCGCTCCAGATATTCCGCCTCGGTGCCCAGGCCCGAGCCACCGTCCAATCTGTGCAACACTGTCGAGGCATGGCTTCTGAGAGTCTTGACGTTGCCCCACCAGCCCCAGCCGGCCATCCAGCGCGCCAGGTCGCACGCAGCCAGCGTGTACGAATCGCGCAGCGCCTGCACTGTCGGAGGCTGGCCCGTGGAGAACTCCTCGAGCCTGCGGGCGAGCTCGTGATGATAGTGGTCGAGGTAGGCTTGCTCGTCTATCACATTCAAATCACCCGCTGCGCAGCAGATGCAGTAGGCAACGTCTTTCGAAGCTGGCGCCTTGCCTGTCCACTGGAAGTCGCAGAAAGCTACCGACCCGTCTGAGTCGAAGAGCACGCTGCGGGCGCCGCGAAAGACGACACCGCCAGCGAGGACGGCCCTGGACGCCGTGGCCGCGTTGCAGTGGCGACGACTTTGGGGGGAGCGGCCCACCCCCCCTCCCCCCCAAAATCGCACACAAGCCGACACCACCGTCAAGATCCGGACGCGACGTCCATGGCCGACCTCAGTGGCGCTGCCTCGGCTGCGCCCAGTGGGGCGACGGACTCGAGACGCACCCACTGCTCCCGTGCCAGGCCCATCCTGAACCCAGCAGCGGTGCATACGCCACGCCCTCCTGGCTGGGCCGGGAGTGCGCACGCATGGCTCCCGGCCTCAGGGCACGGGCAGGCCACGGGCAACCAAGAGCCCCGCGCCACTGCCACGGAGCGGGTGCGCTGCGCCGAACCCGCGACAGTGGACATGGGGGTCCTGGACGCCTACAGGGCCCGAAGAGGGCCACGGAACTGGCACTGCGCTCGAGCCTCGTCCCAGCCCTGCCTGGTCTCCGGGTGCGCCTGCCCAGGGAGCAGCGGATCTGTGCGGACCCCGTCGCCCGACGCAGGAGCCACTTCGCCCCCTGCTGAGAGAGAAGCACGACGGCGCTAAGTTCCTCAAAGCATGGAAACCACTCGTAGAAGCATGGAAACCACTCGTAGATACATAGAGATCACGCGCGGACCCGCCTGCTTTCAGGGACAGCGCCCGGCCGCCCCTGGATTCATCGCGCACCCCACGATGCGCATGAACGGTCACCCCAGGCCCCAGGAAATAAGGACCTATCGGTTACCCACCCTGCTCCGGGCGGCCCCCAGAGGGGCCTAGCGCGCCACGGCCAGTGCTGGGGAGGACCCGTATGGGCACGCACCAGTACGGTCGGACCTGGGCCAGAAAAACATCCTTCAAGAGCACGAGGCCCTCTGTCGGCCAAAGCACACAGAGCCCCCAGGAGTACCTACCCTCCCCAGAATCCACAAGAACATCCAACAAGTACGACAATAACACGAAGGCACTCCCCCCCGAGCCGACTTAGATCTTACACCCCAGTCCGATTGCACTTGGGTCGGTCCAGCGAAGAGCCAACAGCAACAAAAGACTGCATGGGCATTGACTTTCGGAGGTCCGCGCGGACTTCTTGCATCGGCGCTGGACCCCCCTCCCTGGCGCGCGGAGCGCGCCAGGGGCGGCGCTGAAGAAGCGCCGCCAGGCACCTCCGCGCGCACCTCCGACAGTTTCTGGTTATGTCCTCTGGGCGACGATCCAAAAACGGCTCGCACACGCGAGAGAGGACCCAACGACCTTGCGCGGTGGCTCACGCGAGCCGCCCGCGCGGCAAGCCACAGTGGAGACGAGGGCGCTTACGCGCGACCTTACGCGGGCAACTTACACGCCGATGTCGGTAACGATGACCCGTTTTCTGCGTCGCCCATCTGTTTGGGGAGACCAAAAAGGTACCGATGCCGCTACTCCCTGGGCCTCTCCCAGGGCGCGTTCCGGCCAGGACTCCGAGGCGAACCCAGCGGTGGCGACGAGGGCCTCCCAGGAGGCCCCTCAAAGGGGAAAACGAGGGAAGGGTAGCGGTGCGGGCACCTGTTCCTCCTCTAGCGTTAGGTCGGACCTGTACCCCTACAGGGGGATCTTCGACGAAAAATTAAAAATACCCCACAGATGCCCCAAAAAGGCCAAAACATAATCAAAAAATAGTCCCCCGACTATTTGTTTTTTCAATATTTTTGGAGTATTTGGAGGATATTTCTTATTTTTCGTCGAAAATCCCCCTGTAGAGGGACAGGCCAGACAGAAGTCTGGCGCTCGTCAGTTGCTCCTCGGCCTTGCGCGCAGCCGCGCGGTGAATCCTCGCGGCCCCCAGCTGTTAGACGCCTTCGCGTCTCCGTGGCAGACCGTCTGCAGCGCGTCCGCCTGCAGCCGCACGTCCAGCGCCTCCGCGGCCAGGCGCAGGCGCCTTGGCTGACTGGTAACGAACCCAGGCATGATCACGTAAAACAAAACATCAGGACGGGGGGGCTTTTCGCCATTCTCGGCCTCGGGGGGCCATCGCCGGGCCCCGGGACCGTCAAGCAACGACTCGGGATGAAAAGCTGGCCCCGGGGAAAGGGTCGGGACTTTCAGGGGCGCCGCAAGGAACGAATCAGGACGTCGCATGCCTGGGGAGGGTATCCTAGCGTTCTTCGTGTTTGCTGGATGCTGTCGTGTAACAAAAACGACTCGGTAAGAAAAACGACTCGGTAGGAAGAACCGGTCCTGGGGAAAGGGTCGTGACTTCCAGGGGCCCCGCATGGAACAAATCAGGACGTCGCATGTCCGGGAGAGGACCCCTGACATCTTTTGGGGGAGGGGACCTAACCCGGACCCCCATCGGGCATGGAACAAATCAGGACGTCGCATGTCCGGGAGAGGGCCCCTGACATCTTCTTTGAGGAGGGGACCCAGCCCAGACCCCCCTCGGGCAACGGCCACATATTATGACGGGAGGCGTTCGGCCACGTGCTCGCCCTCGGGAGATGCCCGTCCTGGCCGCCCGGGGGCCGTCGAAGAGCGTCGGGAAGCTGCTGACCCCGGCCATGCCAGGCCCGGGTCAGTCAGGCCTTGCACTAAGTCGGGCGTGTCCCCCTCCAGGGGGATTGTCGACGAAAAATTAGAAAGATACTCAAAAATACTCCAACATGGTCAACACATACTCCAGAAATAGTCCCCAGACTATTTTTGTTCGTTACTATTTTTGCATTTTCCTCCTGTAGAGGGACAGGCCCGACCTAAGCCTTGCAGAATCCTGCAACATCCTGCGAGATCCTGCACCCAAGCCCAGATCAATGCGGAGGGTCCCGCAGGATCCGGCAGGATCCTGCACCCAGGTCCCGGTCAAGTGCGGCCCTGGCCCTGCAGGATCCTGCAAGATCAGGCGCCCTGGCTGACCCCCGTTTGCATTGACCCCGGACCCCCGTCTCAAGGCTCCCGAAAACGACTCAGGATGAAAAACCGGTCCCGGGGAAAGGTTCGGGGCTTCCGGGGGTCGACGTATGAAAAAAACATGGCGCTGGGGGTCTGGGAAGTTGGGAGGGCCAACGCTATTACAGTCGAGGCGTCGACCTAAGGAACCCAAAATAAGAAACGAGGCCCCCTTTTTCCATCAGTTAAACTTGGACTTCCCATCGACAACTTTTGGAAAGCCTTAGGCAAGGGGTGGAACAATTAAGCAACACCGAGCCCCTCCCCAACGAAAAGGGTTCCTTCTTCAGCGCCCCGATTGTAGGGACAGGGGACGGTTGCTGCAGATGTGCCAAACCAAACCGCCCAAATGTATGATCCCTCATGCAAAGACGGGGACCTCAGCGAGGCCACGTCTTCACTGTGTTGTCAGAGTTCGAGGCTCTTTTATCCCGGCATGCGGGAAGCGGGTCCCGATGGAAACGGGCCCTGGACCCCCAGGCCTTCCCCCCGGACTCGATCTTCTCCTCCCGCGTCGCTTCCTGACCGTCCCCGGGGCCCGTGGAGGGCCGCGGGGAAGCCAACAGGCACACCGGCGAGGCAAACAAAAACCTCAGGACCCGCTGACCCCAGGACCCGGACGCCAGGACCTTTTTCACAGCGTCGACCCATGGGAGGCCTCGGCCCATTCCCCGGGACCGGTTTCTCGCCAGAAGTCCTTGTCTGACGGTCCCGAGGGCCCGTTTGGACGCCCGAAATGGGTACGGAAAAAATCGGTACAATGCCCAACAGCAAATGTTGTCCCAAACCAACAGCGGCCGCTGTTGGGCAGGCGGCCTTCCGTCTCGAATGGGCACAGGCCGCGGCGGCGTGGACAGCGAGTCCTGCTCAAATTCGCACAGGATCCGCTGTTGGGCACTGTACCCACTCTTGCCGTGCCCATTTCGTTCGTGCAGAGCCGATGAGGGCCTCCAGAGGCCGAGCGCGTGTTGAAGGACCTCCCGGCGTGGTCTGCTCATGGCCCGCCCGGCAGGATCCGCTGTTGGGCTCTGTACCCACTCTTGCCGTGCCCACTTCGGTCGTGCAGAGCCGGCGAGGGCCTCCAGAGGCCGTTAACACGCGCTGAAGGACCTCCCCGCGTGAGCTGTGCGTGGCCCGCCCGGCGAGGGGCTCCCTATATATAGGCTGGCCCCCCTGCCCCCCCCCCCCCCCTCGGCGGGCGCCCCTCGAGGCCATCCCGCCGCGTGCGCCGCAGCTCCCCGCGCCGGGCGCCCAGGTGCCAGAAGCAGCCCCGGGGCTGCAGGCCCGCGCGCACGGCGCGGTCGGCGCGCGGGGCGCCCCAGTGCAGCGCGTGCAGGCGCGCGAGCCAGGACAGGGCCGCGCGCACCTCCGCCCCGCCGCAGGCCCGCGCGGCCGCGCCCGGGTGCCGCTGCAGGCGTGGGGGAGCAGCGGGCGGCCCGCGGAAGCCCCGTGTGGGTCAGTGGACGCCCCGAGGCCCTCTCGAGGCTTCGGGGGCCTCGGGGTCTGCCGGAGGTCCGCTGGAACCCTCTGGAGGTGCTGGCGCCGCTCGCCTTGGAGGTGGGGCTTGGAATGCCCGACAGGTTGCGATCAAGGTCTTTAAGTACTCTCTGTCAGCGCGCCTGCGGCCGGCCCGCAGCAGCAGGTCGGGCGTGTCCCCCATTGCGGGCGGAGTCTAGGCGACGAGCAGAGCAACCACAAAAACTACCCTTCCAAAGTGAGCCCAAATACCGAGCAGGACGTCCCCGGACCATGTTTTTGGACTATTTTTGAAACTTCCCCTGTGGAGGGGCATGCCCGACTTAACCGCAGAAAAAGGACACAACGGTGAGGATGCAGGGGCCTTGGGGGGCCAGGTCGACACTGTACGAGCGGGGCGCGGCCAGTGGAAGCGGCCAAGGATGAGGTAGCACTATAGAAGGGCCCCCAACCGAACCCTTTGGGAGGCGACCTAGTTCAGGAGGCCGAGAGCATTGGGGATTGAGGGCGTTTGCTGCAGATGTATGAAACCAAACCGCCCAGATTTCTTATCCCGAATGCAAAGACGGAGACGTCAGTGAGCACACGTCTTTACTATACTATTAGAGTTAGGGATCCGCTTATTCTCGATGAAAGGATGGGCCGAAGGGGAAGGATGCAAGGGGGAACCTTGGAAAGTCGCACATCCATACAATGCGGGTTGACTGTAAGCAGAAGCTGTGGGAGGTCCGCGCAGATTTCTGGATCGGCGCTGGACCCCCTCCCAGGCGCGTGGAGCGCGGCGCTCAAAGCGCCGCCAGGGGGCTCTAACGCCGATCCAAGAAATCCGCGCGGACCTCCCACATGTTTTGCTTACGGTCGGACGTGGGACAGAAACAAAAACACCCTCCAAGAACACGAGACCCTCCGCTGGCCCAAACTGAGGAGCATTCGAGGGTGCCCTTTCCCAGGATGCACGATCACATCCAGCAAACACGAAGAACGTCAGGATACCCTCCCCAGACCTGCGACGTCCTGATTTTTCGATGCGGGGTCCCTGGAAGTCCCGACCCTTTCCCCAGGACCGGTTTTTCCAACCGAGTCGTTTTTTGACGGCCCCGAGGCCCGGCGAGGGCCCCCCGAGGCCTAGACTGGCCCAAAACCCCCCGCCCCGACTTTTTTTTTCGCGACGCGATCGTGCCTGGGTATACAGTGCACCCTCCCCGAACCGACCTTGATCGCAGAACTCTCGGGGCGCGCAAGCATGGATTGGCAATCCATGGATTTGGCGCGCGGTCGCCAAACCCACGGATCGGGAGAGGTGCCCTCGCCAAAATGCGGCCGGTGCCGCCTGGCTCGGCGGCGGAAGCCCGCCATCCCCCACGGAAACGGGACCCGTCGCTAATCCACGCCCCCTTGATCCATGTTCGCGGAGGGGGGGGGGAGGGGAGGCGGAGGAGGAGGAGGGGGAGGGGAGGGGAAGGAAGAGGAGGAGGAGGAGGGGGAGGAGGAGGAGGAGGAGGAGGAGAGGAGGAGGAGGAGGAGGGAGGAGGAGGAGGAGAAGGAGGAGGAGGAGGAGGAAGGAGAGGAGGAGGAGGAGAGGAGGAGGAGGAGGAGGAGGATGAGGAGGAGGAGGAGGAGGAGGAGGAGGGGAGGAGGAGGAGGAGGAGGAGGAGGAGGAGGAGGAGGAGGAGGAGGAGGAGAGGGAGGAGAAGGAGAGGAGGGAGGAGAGGAAGGAGGAGGAGGAGGAGGAGGAGAGGAGGGAGGGAGGAGGAGGGAGAGAGGAGGAGGAGGAGGAGGAGGAGGAGGAGGAGGAGGGAGGAGGAGGGGGAGAAGGAGGAGGAGGACAAGGAGGAGGAGGAGGAGGAGGAGGAGGAGGAGGAGGAGGAGGACGACGAGGAGGAGGAGGAGGAGGACCAGTCCGACCGCGTGCCGCCGCCTGGCTCCCCCGGAGGCAGAGGTTGAGGCGGCGGCCCTCCCCGAGGCGCTCCACCAGCAGGGCCCGGGGGCACGCCGCCCCCGCCCTGCGCAGGGCCTCGGCGTGGCCCTGCTCGTAGAAGCTGGCCTCCACGAGGTTCGGGGGCGGCAGAGAGGGGGGTGCCCAAGAGGGGGGGGTGCAAATCATGGTGGGCAGCATGTGCGCGGCCCCTGGGGGGGGGGGGCAGGAAGGTAATGAAATAAGAAGAGGGGGGGGCAGGAAGGTAATGAAATAAATGAGAAGGGGCGCCATGATACCTGGAGAGAGATATCATGGCCCCCGCCATGAGATCCCCCCCCCTAGTCATCACCCCTCTCCTTGGCCGCCCCCGAGAGGTACGAGGCGAAGTCGCGCGAGGCCTCGGTCCCGGCGGGCTCCGCCGGCGCCCAGACCTCAAGAGAAGACGTTAGACGCCATAGAAAAAATCCAAATCAATGGATGGTTTGATCGATATATCGGGAGCAGCCAAGAGGGGGGCGTCCAAGAGGGGGGGTGCAAATCATGACTGGCGGCATGTGCGCGGCCCAGCCCGGGGGCCAGGGACGTAATGAAACAAGAAGGGGCGCCGCGAAATCTGGGGAGATATCATGGCCCACGAGATATCATGGCCCACGCCATGATATCCACCCCCCCCTAGTCATCACCCCCCTCTTTTCCGCCCCCGAATATAAGGAGATCGACTGGGAAGCCGGGAACCAGGAGCTCATCGAAATCGGCCCGGAACCAATATAACCAGGAACCCGGGAACCCAGAACCGGGAACCCAGGAGCCCAGCCGGCCACCAAAATCGGCGGGACACTTTCGCCAAATCTTTCAATTTCTGGGCCCCTATCAGTGCAAACACTGATTAGGGAAAAACGGTATAAGCATAAATTTCTGGCGCTCCGCAAGGAATTCTGAGATCTGCGCTGGACTCCCCTCCCTGGCGCGCGGAGCGCGCCAGGGGCGGCGCCAGAGGCGCCGCCGGGAGGGCCCAGCGTGGATCCAAGAGATCCGAGCGGAGCGCCAGAAGTTTATGTTCATGGCGTTTTTTCTCCTTCGAGACCTGCTTGACAACCACGCCGCACACCGCCGAAGGCTCGCCGCCTCTGTCGCTGCTCGCGAGGCGCACGTCCAGCTGAGCGATGACGCCCAGGCCGCTCCACAACTCCTGCAGCAGGCTGCACGTGACGTCGCCGACCTCGGCGAAGACGGCACCACCCGAGTCGCGCAGGCAGGCCAGGCAACACCGCGCCACTCGCTGCTGCTCCTCTGGCCGGTCGAGCAGAGAGCCCTCCCGCTCCGATGCCGCCGGGTTCAGCGCCGGCGCCAGACTTTGCGGATTGGCATCGGCAGCATCGACAATTCCGAGCTCGGCCAGCACCAGGTCAGCGATGCTCTCCTCCAGAGTCGCCGCTCTCGCCATCGCGCGCGGGACGGCTGGCAGCGTGCTGCCTCGAGCGAGGGCAGCCTCGGATCAGAGTGTCTACGTAGCCCTGGCGGAGCCCAGCCAAATCCGCGAAGATCGGTGGACGATCCCGAAGCCTGAAGCTTGGGAATCCGAACTCCTGGGCCTCCCGCTCGGCAGCTCTCGGACTCGAAACTCACGTACTCCAGACTTTGTTATCGGGATCCCCTAGAGGGATGGGATCTTTGTTCTCCTCATCTGCACCAGGCTCTCAGGCGATCTCGTGCACAGCTACCTTCAGCATTCCTCAAAGGAGATGGTGAGCAGCGGGCTTGCAGTGCAAAGGTCGGCCTGGTGCCCGCGCATGCGCCCTCAACGAGCCGCGGGCTTGTGCGGGCACCCACCTCCACGCACACCTGCATCGGAGCGGGACGTAGGCCGACGGGAAGCCCTCGGCCGCTTCTGGCCAGCGACTATTTTCGCCCCTCGGGCTTCCAAAGCGCAGCGTCTCGGGCAGAAGCGGAGACGAAAGGAAAAGCTGTCCGCACATGCGACCGCGCGAACGGCGCGCGCAGTGGCGAGCCGAGGCCAGCGATGGGACGCTGTCGTGGCCCGCCGGTGAGGCTCGCTGAAAGCTGCGCCGTGACCGCGCGTCGCACGCCCTCCCCGAGCGGACGCCGAGCGCCCCCACCACCCCCCTTGCGTGACACTGGGCCGCTGGGCAAGAGTGACCTTCGGTGCGCGGCTTTTGGGGGCGCGGGGGGGAAGGCCCAGGCACCCAGGGCCGCCACACCATCGCACCGCATTCGCCGATCGGGGAGCCCCAGCGGGCCCACACCGCAGGACCCTCCGGCGGAGGGCCACTCCTGCGGGAAGTCGACCTCGTGCCGACGGCGGAGGCCCGCTCCGCCCCCCCCCCCCGCAGTGGGCCACTCGCAAGAGCGACCCTGGGCAACAAGAGAAGCCCCTGGTGCGCGGCCTCAGGGAGCCTCGACGGGCCCAGGTCAAAGCCCGCGATCCAGTGCCGGGGTCACCCCTGTGGGCCCGCACCCACCGATGCTGATACCACTGGGGAAACAGCAGGTGAGAATTGGAAAAGAGGGGGGGGAGCGAAAAACAGCGTCACAGAAAGCGCTCGTCACCACCGTCGCGGCATTGGAACATCATGCCACGCTGCACACCCGGGCTGTAGCTCGACGCCTCCTGTGAGTTCCATGGCCAGCAGGATGCATCACCTGATATAACCGCATCCCCCGATTGATAGCAAGCATGCCCCCTCTTCCCCTCTTTGTGTCCACGGTGATGAACGTGGTGCGCTCGCACTCGTGGCGGGCGGAGCCTGGCGGGCGGAGCCTGGCGGGCGGAGCCTGCAGGCGGAGCGTCGCTGGGCGCAGGCGCGGGCGCAGGCGGGCGGAGGCGGTGCGCGGGGCGCTGCCTCCGCACCTCCGGCCTCTGGGCCGAGGCCCGCACCTCGGCATCTGGCCCCGGACACGTCCTCACGGGCTGTGGCCACCACCGCTACCAGGAATGGCTCCAATGCTCTCCCCACTCCGCCTTGCCCTCCACAGGCGCAACCAGACGCTCGGACTGTGAAGCAGGTCGCACGCGCCACCAGATGCCATGTCGCAGACATGGTAGGCGTAGTCGAAGCCCCACCAGCCCTCCGGACGGCAGGTGGCGCAAGGTTGTCCCCGAAGCCACCACCAGGCTCGATCTCCTCCACGGCCGGCGCGGGCGGGGAGCGCCCGATTTTGCAGACGCGGCTCCTGCCCGAGACTCCAGCCCTGTCTCTTACAGCACCGCCCGAAGCTTCCGGCGGGCACGCGGATGCAGGCGGCTCTTTCGCAGCAGCGGGCTCTCGCCTGAGTGCCCCTCACAGTTCCATAGCCCTGCAGCTCGGCGCCCCCGACGCCTGCGCGCAAGAGAGGGCGGGTGGTCTTCCGAAGCCGAGATCCCGACGGACTGCCTTCCCGCGTGCTGACGCCGAAACTCAAGATTACCGCTCCCATCGCAATCTCCAGGAAGCCCGAACCCGGTTCATGAATTGCGCCTGCCAGCCTTTGCCAGCCCTCCGCGGGCCCGCAATCGTTCCGCTGCTTCCGCCGCCCCCCCGCCGGCCTTCCGCCAGCTGCCGCCAAGGGCGAGGCTGCGCCGAAGGCGAGGCCCCTGATATATCTGGAGGGGACGCGCCACATGATGCACGGATGCAGGCTGGTCCCTTGCCAGACCGACAGTGCACGGTCGCGAATTGGGGGGGGGCGAGGAGGCGGGGTGGGGGGAGGGGAGAGACCCCCACGAGGCGCACCCTCTCCGAGCCAGCTTCGCGAGCGCGCTCGCACCTCTTCGCACCCCCCCCCCCCCCCCCCCCCCCCCCCCCCCCCCGCCTGCGCTGTCTGCAGCAGCAGAGCACGGCAGAAACATACCTTTTCTCGCTGGTCCGCGCGGATCTCTGGGATCTGCGCTGGACCCCCCCCCCTCCCTGGCGCGCGGAGCGCGCCAGGGCAGGCGCCGAAGGCACCGCCAAGGGGGCCCCCGGCGCCGATCCAAGACATCCGCGTGGAGCGCCACAGTTTTCTGCCGCTTGCCGCGCACATGATACGCCACGCTCCCGGCAGCTGCGCCGACGGACGGCGATCCTTCCTCGACCGCACTGTGCTTTCGCGAGCCGCGCGGCCGAGGAGCGGCGCGGCCATGGAACGGCACGGCCGGAGCCCGCGTGTCCCAGAGCCCGGCAGAGCTCAGAAGCTGCGCGACAGCAGCTCCAAAGCTCCCCAGCTTCTTTGTGGGGGGAACGCAAGCACAAACACCATGCCTAACCCGAACCATCCCTGGGCCCGCGTGGCGAATGCGCCCTCCCGGCCGAGGCCATCGCGGATGGACCCCAAAAGGGTCCCGATGGATACGCAGGCCTCCGACGTCGTGGACTCTTCACAAAGGTGGACCCCTAGAGGTTTGGATCTGATGAGGGGGACGAAGACTCACATACCTATACGACCACCCTTCGGGGTGATAAGGAGGTTGTGGGGGGGGAGAGGGGGGGAACCAACATCTGACTCAATCGATTTTACTATCGATCTCACTCAACGGGACACCACGGGACACCACGGAACACCACGGGACACCACGGGACACCTCTCGATCTCACTATCGGTCTCACTATCGATCTCATTATCTATCTCACTCAGCGGGACACCATAGGACACCACGGGACACCTCGAGACACCACATCGATCTCACTATCGATCTCACTATCGATCTCACTATCGATCTTACCCAACGGGACACCACAGGACACCACGGGACACCGGCGGGACACCGCCCGGCCCAACTGGGACACCTCCCGGCCACCGGACACCGCCCGGCCAACTATAGAACACCTCCCAGCCACCGGCGGACGGGAACGGACTCTCGCTCCTACTTCGGCCTAGCTACAGGAGGATCACGCGCAGCTTCGCCTCGCCCGCACGCACGACACGATTACGAAAAACCGGAACCGATTTCCCAGCGGGGGGCCTCCGCTTCACTGCGATCTCACCCCCCGACCTCCGAAACATGGTCACAGAAACGTGGGGACTCGGAGGTCCGCGCGGATTCCTCGGAGGCGTCATCCCTCGTTCCCCTACTGGTGCCCGTGACCCGCTGTGGTCTCTCGACGGTCCCGGGGCCGGCGAGGGCATCCGGAGGCAGCAAGCCACCAGCAGCCTCCCGCCGCGATCCTCCCACGCCGCGGGACTGGCAGAGGAGCCCGAGGACTCGACCCGGCCGAGGGTTCGAGGGCCGACCGCCCGAGGCTTCTCGCACCGGGCGCCCCGGCAGCGTGCGGGCTCCCACCCTCCTGGCCGCCCGCGCGGCCTCCCCTGCGGGCAACAGGAGGTCCTGCGGCGCGCCCAGGCACAGGCAGGACAGGAGGCAGCAGAGCTCCCGGAAGTCGACGTCGCCGCTGCCGCCCCGGTCGGCGATGACGTGGACCAGCCGTGCCTCCGGGGGGGAGGAGAGCCAGGAGGCCGCGGGCGCCGCGCGGTCTGTTGGCTGCCGGCCGCGCGCTCCCTCAGCATCCGCCTGCGGCAGGCAGGCCTTCGGGCCCCCCGGGGGCCGTGAGCAAAGACGGGCCTGTGACAGGGATGGCCGGCCCGCGCGCGAAGGGGTCGAAGGGTCCAACGGCCAAGGATTAAAACGAACATAGCATCTGAGGCTTGCAGGGGCGGGAAGAGGAGGAGGAGGAGAAGGAGGAGGGGGAGGAGGAGTAAGAGGAGGAGGAGGAGGAGGAGGAGGAGGAGGAGGAGGAGGAGGAGGAGGAGGAGGAGGAGGAGGAGGAGGGGAGCAGGAGCAGGAGCAGGAGCAGGAGCAGGAGCAGAGGAGGAGGAGGAGGAGGAGGAGGAGGAGGAGGAGGAGGAGGAGGAGGAGGAGGGGAGGAAACAGCTTCCCTGAACAACTTGTCTGCAAGGGTCTTCTATCGAATGCGAGGATCGCTGGATACTGAATCGAGCAGGCCTCTTTGTCCCCCGTGTCCTCTCATCAGTAGTCATATCATCGATATGAATTATGGACAGCCGTCGTATCAGTTCTATTATTAGCATGCGCGTGAGTGCCTGTATCAGCGTCAGTCTCAGAAATATATTCGTAAAAAAACCTTGCTGGTGGCAATCCGCAACTGTTAGCCACCGTGCACACACAACACCTAGCTTCTAACAAACTATGTTGTACAATCGATGTGGAACGTTCTATGTGGTGCAACCTACGTGGTGCAGTCGATGTTGTGCAATCGAGGTCGTGCAATCTGGGTTGCGCAATCTGCGTTGTGCAAGTCATTATTGGTGGAGCAACCTATGTTGTCCAATCTATGCAATGCTATCAACGCTGGTATAATTTGGGCGACGACAAAGCGACGACGGCGACCACGGAACCGCCAGACCAGCAACCAGACCAAAGCGAAGAGCGGCAACAGGGCGGCGACGGTGCGGCGACGGCGACCACGGAGCCGCCAGACCAGCACACCGGCCCAGACGACTGGCGCCGACGAGCCGGCAAGGGGGGGATCACGGAACCGCCAGACCGGCACCCACGCCCACACGACGGGCGGCCACGAAACGGCCACGGGGCGGAAATCTACGCGGTGCAACATCCGTTATGCAATCTACGTTGTGCAATCTATGCTGTGCAACCTACGACGTGCAATCTACGCGGTGCAATCTCTGTGGAACGAGTCGTGCTTGTTCGCAATGACTTGTCATACCCACAGGTCGCGCAAGCATCCCACCCAGCCGCCAACAACTTAGTTTGCAAAACCGACGCGGGGGGGATTGCGATGACTGCTTGGCGCTGGCTGGCGCATGGCTGCAGCCGCGCAAGAGCGCGCAGGCTCGCTCGCAAAGCGGCCAACTAGTCTGGCGCCACGGACGCGGCCGCGGTGGGGCTGACCACTGGGGACTTCCCAGCGTGTCGGGCAGGCCGCGCTGACGCGCGGGCACATCAGTGCGAGTCGGTGACTCGGGCGGGCGCGGCATCATGGCGACGTAGACAACGGCAGTCGCGATGATGATAGTAGCGATACTGGCCAAAAATCTCTGTGTTCATCCTGGTAGACCGCTTTTGTTTCGCTGTGTCTCTTCGTCCCTGTTGCCGTCAACTCTCATGGGAAACGTTTCTGAAACGGGCTGGAGTGAATACGCAAAACGTGAAGAACTATGAATGTGTGAGTGAGAGCGAGTCGGAATACGACTGGTAGAACATGCATGGACCGAATGGCACACCAAATCGAGTCGAGTATGAGTACGACGAACTCTGAGCATTAGAGGGCAGGCGTGAATCAGACTGAGGCGAAGAGATCCCACAAACAAACGTCGGCCACCACGAAGAAGACGACGACGACGGCGACGACGACGGCGACGACGACGGCGACAGTGGCGGCGGCGGCGGCGTCGCCATCACGCGAAAAATAGGCGACATCACTCAGAACCACGACGACGAAACATCAAGATCAGAGTGAGGGAGCCAAACGGTCATTCACAATCCGTGGGCGCGTGGCTGAAATGGGGCTCCGCGGTGCGGATTCTGCCTGTTGCTGTTGCGTCGAATTCCCCTTTAAAGAAAAACCATTGTTGATGCCCCCCGTCCGGTGGGTGCACCTTGTGTTTTTCCATTCAAATGCCCCCCCCGGGCTCGCACACATTCGTTTCCAGGGGAGATCTTGCGCTTCATATAGTGTTGCGGCTCCCCCGTTTACACCATCAACAACAACAGCAGCAACAGCAACAACGATCATTTTAAGACTGTTCGCTCTTATCTGCTCGCGTGTTCATTAACGCGTATTTCCCAAACCCTCGATACCCGCCCTCCTCGTCTTCGATTGTACCCCTTTTGAGAGGTATACCTTTCTTCCCTGCAGGCCGGGCCCGGCAAACGGCGGGGAGATCGCGGACCGTCGGCCTGGCCAGCGGCAGCGCTGATCGGCGGCACCCCGACCCCAAGAGGGACGGTCAGGGGACAGACCACGACGACGACGACGACGACGACGACGACGTCGAAGACGACGCGGGCGACGACGACGACGAGCGAAACCGAGAGCAAGAGAGAGGACGACAGCAGGGCCACGAAGGGCACGAAGTACGCCACGAATGGCGACAACGAGGACACGAAGGGAATGCGTATGGGGCCACGAAGAGCGCGAACGTGCGGGGGTCACGAAGGGCAGATAATGCGAGGCCACAGAAGGCAACGACGGGGCCACTGAGGGTAGCAACTGGGCCATGTAGACAGCGAGGGGGCCACGAAGGGCCACCAAGGGCATGCATATAGGGGGCCACGACGGGCGCGAACGAGCGGGGGCCACGAAGGGCATGCACATGGGGCCACCACGGGCGCGAACGAGCGTGGTCCACGAAGGGCATACGTATATGGGCCCACGAAGGGCAGCGAGGGGGCCATAAAAGGGCGACAGCGGGGCCACGAAAGGCATGCACACAGGGGGCCACGAAGGGCTGCAACGGGGCCACGGAGTGCAGCGAGGGGGCCACGAAGGGCTGCACGAAGGGCAGCGAGTGCGCCAGGAGGGGCTGCAACGGGGCCACGAAGGGCAGCGAGGGGGCCACGAAGGGCTGCGAGAGCGCCCCGAATGGGTACAACGGGGCCACGAAGGGCAGCGAGGGGGCCACGAAGGGCCGCAACGGGGCCACGGAGTGCAGCGAGGGGGCCACAATGGGCTGCAACGGGGCCACGAAGGTCTGCGAGGGGGCCACGAAGGGCGAAGGGCTGCAACGGAGCCACGAAGGGCAGCAAGGGGGCCACGAAAGGCTGCAACGGGTCCACGAAAGGCAGCGAGGGGGCCACGAAGGGCTGCAACGGGGCCACGAAGGGCAGCGAGATCCCGATTCCTAAATCATCTGAGAGGGAGCCCTGAGCGTGAGCGCGGCTTCTGGGTGCCTGAATGTCGGAGGCGAGGCGCTTCAGTAACTTGCGGGAAATTCAAACGCAAGGGCGCTATCCTTGAGTGAATTTGAAGCAAGTCTCCCGCAAAAGCGCGACTCCAGAGCGCCGAGAGAGCGACTCCTGAATTCCCTTGCGACGTACCCAACCCTTGCTACACATGCGGCGATTAAATTCAGGACCGCTCAACGCAAGCCCCCCATGGGGGGGGGCGAGGTCTCGAGGTGATCCGCGTGGGACGTACCTCCGCTGGGCGTCCCAGGAGCCCACGAAAGTGGCGACAGTTGCGCAGATCGCAAGCCCCCCCCCAGGGGGGCGGCGAGGTCTCGAGGTGATCCGCGTGGGACGTACCTCCGCTGGGCCTCCCAGGAGCCCACGGAAGTGGCGACAGTTGCGCAGATCGCAAGCTCCCCAGGGGGCGGCGAGGTCTCGAGGTGATCCGCGTGGGACGTACCTCCGCTGGGCCTCCCAGGAGCCCACGAAAGTGGCGACAGTTGCGCAGATCGCAAGCCCCCCAGGGGGCGACGCGGTCTCGAGGTGATCCGCGTGGGACGTGCCTCCGCTGGGCCTCCCAGGAGCCCACGAAAGTGGCGACAGTTGCGCAGATCGCAAGCCCCCCCCAGGGGGCGGCGAGGTCTCGAGGTGATCCGCGTGGGACGTACCTCCGCTGGGCCTCCCAGGAGCCCACGAAAGTGGCGACAGTTGCGCAGATCGCAAGCCCCCCCAGGGGGCGGCGAGGTCTCGAGGTGATCCGCGTGGGACGTACCTCCGCCGGGCCTCCCAGGAGCCCACGAAAGTGGCGACAGTTGCGCAGATCGCAAGCCCCCCATGGGGGCGGCGAGGTCTCGAGGTGATCTGCGTGGGACGTCCCTCCGCTGGGCCTCCCAAGAGCCCACGAAAGTAGCGACAGTTGCGCAGATCGCAAGCCCCCCAGGGGGCGGCGAGGTCTCGAGGTGATCCGCGTGGGACGTACCTCCGCTGGGCCTCCCAGGAGCCCACGAAAGTGGCGACAGTTGCGCAGATCGCAAGCCCCCCAGGGGGGCGGCGAGGTCTCGAGGTGATCCGCGTGGGACGTACCTCCGCTGGGCCTCCCAGGAGCCCACGAAAGTGGCGACAGTTGCGCAGATCGCAGCCCGACGGCACGAGAGAATAGGAGAGGGGAACACAGGAAACAGGAGAGGAGGAGAGGAGGGGGCAGGAGGCAGGAGGAGAAGGACGGGGCGACCACACTGCTCTATTCAAAACGAGTGCCCAACACAGGAGAGTTGGGAATCAATTATAAGAAGGTCCCAAGCGAGAGCGCGAATCCTAAGTAAAATGCGAGGAGGTCTCAGGCGGGAGCGTGGGTCCTGGCTAAATTGTGGAAGTCCTAGGCGGGAGCCGGTGTTGTTGTAAAAAGGGGGGCCAGGGGCACAATTTGAGCCGGAAGACTTCCTGATAAAAACAGGGTGCGAGCCCCGGGAAGGGCACCTTGATGGAAAAAACTACAATGTGCACCGGAGGGGGGATCAACAATAATTCTTCTTCAAAAGCGAGAGTTCAACAACGGCTCCCTGCAAATATTTCCCCACACTTTATTCAAATCGCGCTCCGCGCGGGATCTCCTCACAACCTACGACAGAATCGCGCTCTCGCGTTGCACGCCCCAGCAATTCGCCGGAACGCTGCGCCCCCCCCACACTCAGGAATCACGCCCTCGCCCTGGACTCCCCCACGATTTGCCTGGGCACCGCGCGATCGCCATCGCCAGAGCGCCCTCCTCGCGATCCCCGCAAAAGCCTGACGTCCCCGCGACCCGCCGGCTCGACCCCGCCGCGCAGGGCCCGCTCGCCCGACCCGCCCAGCGTGGTGCGCCGGCCCGGCCCGCCCGTCTGGCTCGGCCGCCGGAGCTTGTTTCTGCTCCGAAGCCCCAGCTGCTGATCCGTGGTGCTCCACCATGCGGGCAGGAGTCCTATCCATAGCCAGTGCGTCTTGGACCTTCTCGGGAGGGGTGCCCCAAGGCCGAGGCGCACTGGAGATGGCCACGAATGGAGCTTCTGGGGGGCAAATGTCTCCATCTCCAGTGCGCCTCGGGTTTCTGGGGAAGGGAGCCTGGCACTCCATGCTGCAGTGGATATGGACAGAAGTATTGCCCGCACGCCATTCTCTCCCCCAGTCGCCCCTTCCCTCCTCCCTCTCCCTGTGAGCTCCCGCTCCCTCGCCTCCTCTCCCTCGTATTGGCTCAGGCACCGAGGTGCCGAGGCATGCGATGCGGCGCGCGCGCGCGGCCAAGAACCGAGGACGGGGGACGCGGAGGGTCTGCCTCAGCTTCTCCCTGGCGAGTCCGAGTTTTAGGGGCTGCGCCAACGACGCATGGCACGCAACGAAGATATACCACCCAGAGGGGGCTCTGATCGACGACCAAGAGGGCGGGTGTCGACGGTTTGGGCTATGATGCATGGCACACGAGCAGAACAAAAAAACGAACAATCTCACAATGATTATTGTGGTGGTTGTTGTCGACGTCCTCGCCCGCGACCCGCCCACGACCCACCCGCGACCCACTGGGCGACCAACCCAACGACCCACCCTGCGACCCACCCGCGGCCCATCCACATTGCTTTGACCAAAATTTGGCGCCTGCGGCGGGCTCCTTATGAAGTGTGTAAAAACCAGAACCTACGGCGGCCTTTTTCGGAGCGTCGCAGAGGCTTCTTCAGAGCGTCGCAAACTGCCGACGACCCCTCCGTCCCCCCACTCTTACCCGCAACGGCGTGGGCTAGGGCACACATGATTGCAAACCTTCATCCCCGATCCTCGAACCCTGATTTCATACCTCAAAGAGGGTAGGGAGGAGGAGGGACGAACAAAAACTACAAAAACGACGACGAAGACGCCCACGGCGGCGACGACGAGGAACAAAAACATTCGATCTTCGAACCACGGCTCTCAACCCCGAGGGGGGAGGACGGGGGGGAACGGAGACCCGCGACAACGACGACGCCGTCGAGGGCGACGACGACGACGTCGTTGGAGGGCCTCCGCGGAGGGCTCCCGCGGAGGGGCCTCCGCGGAGGGGCCTCCGCGGAGGGGCCTCCGCGGAGGCCTCCGCAGAGGGGGGGCAGGCGCTCCGAGGCCTCCGGGGGGAGCCGCCGAGGGCCCCCGCGGGCCTCCGAACTGCAGACCCCCAACGGCATGATCTCTCCGTTGCGTCGGCCCCCGCGAGGTCTCGACCCAGACACGATCGCGTCGCAAAAAAAATCAGGACGGGAGGCTTCTCCCTATTTTCGGCCTCTGCATGGGGGCCCTCGCCGGGCCACGGAAGCGTCAAAAAACGACTCAGGATGGAAAACCGGCCCCAGGGAAAGGGTCTGGACTTCCGGGGACGCCGTCCTGAAAAAATCGAGACGGCGCATGTCTGGGGGCCCATTCCCCCGGACCGGCTTCTCGACCTAGGAGTGGTTATCGTGACCGTCCCGCGAGGGCCCGGGAGGGCCTCGGGAGGCCGAGGATAACCTCGCGTCCTGCTTCTGTCATGGCCCGAGGGGGTCTCCGAAGGCAGGCCTCCGGGGGCCCTTCCAATTGAGCACCGACCGACCGTCCCGGCATTCTGATAGGCCTGCCACGAACTGTTCCTAGAACCCAAACAGCTTGCAAGAACAAAAACAATGCTCCTAGAACATCAAGCCGATGTGTTGAAACAAGACAGTCCCAGCCAGACGCGTTCTAAGAACTTGTTCGTGCAAGCCACGAAAATGTTCTCAGCACATCGTTTGGTAGGCCTATAGGCACACCAGGACGCTTCGCCACTGCTTGATCCGAGAGGCCTCGGGGATCTTCTGACCTGGGTCAATCCAGACCCGGGTCAGCAGGAAACCAAACAACTGCAATGCAAGAACAACAAAAGCTGCAACGCAGGTCTTCCCAAACCCGGGTCAGCCAATATGCGCGGCCGCCTCGCGGCCACGAGCGGCTCGCTGACCCGGGTCAGCCACAGGGGGTCTTCGCAGCATCCTGCAGGATCCGGCGCCCTGGCTGACCCCCGTTTGCATCGACCCCCGTCCCTTGAGCCTCGAGAGGCCTCCCCCAAAAGAGCCGCCAGCGGCAGTGCGGTGCGGTGCGGTGCGGCTGCTGCGGCGCCTCGGCGGCCGCCGACAGCAGCGGCCTCGCCGCGCCCAGCTCGCCGAGCGCGCGCCGGACGGGGGGGAAGCCGAGGGCCGCGGCGCCGCCGGAGGCGCGGAGGAAGTCGGCCTGCGGCGGGCGGCGGGGGGCTCCCCCCGAGGCCCAGAGAGCCGTGGGGGAGGGCAAAGAAGCCATCCATGACAGGAGGTTCTGTCCTGTGTGAAGGGGCCCACAAGCACACAAAGAAACACACAGAAATAAAACGATTCCCCATATTTTCCAATATTTTCCGGGTTTCTGTCTTCCCCCCCACTTCCCATATCCCTAAGGTGCCGTGGCGGTTATTTTAACTGCCAACTTTTGGCGTTTTTTGTTTACCGCCAGCGGTTATTTGATATCGATGTTGGTGCTTGCATCACCTGAGACTAGGTTCGTGATCGATCATTGTTGGTTTTGTTGTATCAGTTGCTATTCGAGTTGCCTCTGTTGTTGTCCCTCTTAGATTTTACACGTATATAGAGGTGGAATGGATGATGATCATGATGAGGCCGAGGACGGATTCGACTGGGAAGGATGAGGAGGAGGAGGACGAGGAGGCGGGGAAGGGCGAGGGATATAACAGTGATAGGGGCGTAGGTCAGGGAATAGGGCAATGCCACCACTCATGGTGGCGACGCCGACGGCGATGACAACGGTTGCAGCGATAACGGCTGCGTTGTGGCTCTAGTGATGGAGAGGGTCTCGTGGCCAGATCAGACTCACGTCCCAAAGAGCCCCCTGCGAACGACACCACTCGGCAGGGCCATGAGCCGCGCCGCAGGGCGTGCCGCAGCTGCGGCTGAGACCCTCTTTGACTCCGCCGAGTCTCCGTCGAGGGCGCTGACTGCACGCTTCGCGGATCGCCAGCCCGAGTCTCCCGAGACGCCCTGTCCGCTCGAGCTCCCCGCCCCCGTCGACGAAGAGGCCGAGGTTGTTAGCAGCGATGAGCAACCGCTGGTGCCCGTGCCGCCGACGCATGCAGATGAGGCGTCCGAGGCAGAGACTGAGAAGGCCGACATCCCGATGCGCGTGCTCGAGCCGCTGCAGCGCCCCTCGTGGATCGGTCAGTCGAATGTCCACGAGCCTGGGAAGCGCCACTGGAAGCTGAGGACTGATGATGCTGTGTGTGGCCCCGTGCCCGCGCAGTCGCAGGAGGTGCTCATGCCGCCCGAGGTGCAGGCACACATGCACGGCGCAGATGTCGCTGGAGGCACGCCTGTCCCTTCCACGCCGCCGAGCTTTGCTAGCAAGAAGACGGCGTTCATGGACAGCATCTCGGGCATGTTGAACGGCTTGCGTGACAAAGCAGCAACGCAGGACGAGAACCACGTGGCCGCTGGCCTCAGGGAGCTGCTGAACTCCGCGGAGGTGAAGCACATCATGAGCCTCAAGCAGGGGACGCCGTCTCCTCCGACGAATTCAGGCCGCGGCGACGAGCAGGAGGGCGACGAGGTGAACTGGGCAGAGATGTGGGAGAAGCTGAAGGACCCGCATTCGGGGGTATGAAGGTCAACGTAGGTCAATGGAGGGCCAATGGTTATCTGTTCATTGACCTAGCATTGGCCCGCAGGTTGACGGCGGGTCAATGCTAGGTCAATGAACGGATAAACGTAGGTCGATCGGCTACGGCCAGCACGACGATGACGATGACGACGACGACGACGACGACGACGACGACGACGACGACGACGACGACGACGACGACGACGACGACTACGACTACGACGACAACGACGACGACGCGCGTCCATGGCCCCCGCCCGCCCAGGAGGGCGGCTACCGCTTCTCGACGAAGGGCCGCAAGGGCAACCCGATCGCGGGCAAATGGCATAGGGAGAAGAACAAGTCTGAGAAGATCAAGCAGGAGTACGCAGAGGCCGTGCGCAAGGGGACCGCGGCCATGGACGAGTACAGGCAGCAGTGGTGCCGCGACGAGCACGTGAAGTACCAGAAGCAGCACACCTTCACCGAGTCGCAGGAGACCGCGTGGGTGAAGGAGACGGAGATGCTCGCCGTCGGGCGCATCGCCTGGCTGTACGGAGGGGGGGCCGAGGGGTGGCGGGCGGCGACGACCCACTGCTCCAAATGCATCCAGATGGGCCCCCCCTTCGTAGAATATGAAGAAAGTGGTGAGATCCTCCTGTTCCCGCATGTCAAGAAGGTGTTCAAGGAGCAGTTCAAGCAGGTCTGGACAACCCACCAGACGTGGCTCGTGAGCGCGCTGGATGGCGGCGCCGATGCCCCCTCGGCGGGGCAGGGCTTGAATCGGGGCGGGTAGGATTCAGGGTAGAGGTAGAGGAGGAGGAGGAGGAGGAGGAGGAGGAGGAGGAGGAGGAGGAGGAGGAGGAGGGCGACTACGACGACGACGACGACGACGACGACGACTACGACGACGTCGACGACGACGACGACGCCGACGACGGCGACGACGACGACGACGGCGGTGGAGATGATCGGCGTGCTGGGTTTGAGGGAAACGATACGAGTACGCTGACGACGGCGATGCTGAGGATGATGGTGATGAGGATAATTGTGATGATGATGAGGATGATGAGGATGATGATGCTGATGATGATGATGATGATGATGATGATGATGATGATGATGATGAGGCTGAGGATGGTGATGATGATGCCGATGATGATGGTGATGGTGATGCTAGTGATCATCATACGATGGTGGTCATGATGATGACGATGATGATGATTATGCTGATGATGATGTTGCTGCTGATGATGATGCCGATGATGATGATGATAATGACGGTGACGACGACAACGACAACAACGAGGATGATGATGATTATGGTGATAATGGTGATGCTGATGGTGGTGGTGATGATGATGATGATGATACTGATGCTGATGATGATGACGATGCCGATGACGATGATGCTGATGAGGATGATGAGGATGTTGACGATGATGATGATGATGTTGACGATGATGAAGATGATGATGATGATGAGGATGAGGATGAGGATGATGATGAAGATGAAGATGAAGATGAAGATGAAGATGATGATGATGATGATGATGATGATGATGATGATGATGATGATGATGATGATGATGATGATGATGATGATGATGATGAGAATGATGATGCTGCTGCCGACCGTGAGTATGATGCTGATGATTTCGACTGTGACGAGGAGCGGGAGGGGGGTGGATGAGGAGGATGAGGATCAGGACGGTGAGAAAGACAAAGAAGGTGCGTTGGAGCGAGGGAGGGAGGTAGGGAGAGGGAGGGAGGGAAGGAGTGAGAGAGGGATGGGGGAGATGGGTGAGGATGAGGAGGCGAATGAGGAGGACGATCGAGGAGGACGATCGAGGAGGACGATCGAGGGGATAGCGGGATCGGCCGCTCCCCAGGCGGCGCCGGCGGCGGGGGCGCAGCTGGCGGTCGCGGAGGCGGCGACGGCGGCGGCGGCGCGCGGCTCGGGTGCCGAGGCGCGCGACCCAGGGGAGTGAGGGGCTGTGAGGCGAGTAATTCAATATGATAGGGATGGGGGGGGGATGGAGGAGGAGGCGGATGAGGGGGATGGGTAGGGGGAGAGGGCGAGGAGGAGGTGGAGGAGGAGGAGGAGGAGGATCGAGGATGAGGATCTGACGAGGAAGAGGGAGAAGGGTGAATGAGCAGGGGTTACAAGGACGATGCGGGCTCACCCCATCCGTACCCCCCTCTCTCTCCCATAACTCGCCCATCTTTCATCCTCCCACCCCGCTCCCGCAGGCTGCTGGCGCTGGGGCGGCTGCTGGGGCGGCTGCTGGGGCGGCGCAGAAGCGCGGCCGCGAGGCCAAGGCGGGGATGGGCGCGGGCCGACTGTGCCGCCGTCGACCCATCGATGAGCCAACGGATGATCATCCGTTGGCTCATCGATGGGTCCGCTGATCCGCCGTCGACCCACCATTGACCCGCCATTGACCCACACGTTGACCCGCCATTGACCCGCCATTGACCCACACATTGACCCGCCATTGACCAGCGGTGTGTTCGTTGACCCACACATTGACCCGCCATTGACCCGCCATTGACCCACCATTGATCCGCGAGGTGTGCGTTGACCCACACATTGACCCACCATTGACCCGCCATTGACCCGCCATGACCCACCATTGACCCGCGAGGTGTTCGTTGACCCACACATTGACCCGCCATTGACCCGTCATTGACCCGCGTTGTGTTCGTTGACCCAGCTAGTGGCCCTTGACCCGCGGTCAGTTCATCAAGATTCACTGCCCTCCTGCAGTCTCGTCAGCATCGCCATCTTGCGTGCAATCATCATCGTCATTATCCGTACTACATGCTGGCTTACAGGTGAGTATCATGCAGCATGGCGCCTAAGAGAAAACCAGCTTCCACCGCCGCGCCCCCCGCCGATGGGCCTACTGGAGGCAGGCCGCCAGGCAGCACCACGCTCGTCTCAGAGGATGTGCAACGCAAGCTGCTGGAGGTTCTGAGGGACACCGTCCATGCCCCCGAGACCATCGCCTACGACAGCAAAGCGGGCCAGGATACGGCCGCCCTGACGGCGCACAAAGACATACTCCTAGGGTTCCGCAAGCAGACCGACATCATTCCCGCGAAGAGTGTGTTGAGCACCCTCTTGCTGGAGCTCGCCAACACCAACGAGACACAGTGGTGCCTGGCCGATTCTGCTGAGTCATGGGCAGAGCAGCAGGCGTCCAGCCTGCATGCGATGCTACAGCACGTGGCGAACGGGGTGCGGAAACGGCCGCCTCCGAAGTGGGCTCGAGAGTTCGCGACCAGCGCTGATGCCGCCGCCGAGGGAGGTGCCCAAGGCGGTGATGAGGAAGAGGAGGACGAGGAGGCCGAGGAGGCCGAGGCCGAGGCCGAGGCCGAGGCCGAGGCCGAGGACGCAGCTGCCGAGGATGCGGAGGAGGAGGACGAGGACGACGATGCAGCTGACGAGGACGGCAATGAGGCTGAGGACGGAGGGGGCAACAAGAAGGGCAAGGGCGACAAGGCCGTGGGCGAGGCGAAGAGCAAGGCGCCGCCGTCCAAGGACAATCGCGACCTCGTGTTCGAGGTCATGGTGAACGAGTGGACATCGGCTGGAACACAGA